CACTTCATTTTAAGGAAGAGAAGGATTGTAATTTGACGCCTCGAAGACTGAAACAAAGACTCTTCTCAGCTTCTTCCTTGCTTTACCTCACTTCAAGCCAGGTGTCCTGACGCTCAGTCTGGCTGATGGTCCTTGCTGGAGGGGTGTGCTCTTACAAGGCATCAACTTTGGTTTGAAGACGAGGATGATGACGAGTAACAGCATTAAGTATTGACGTGGATTTAGGGCCCCGCTTCACAATGAAGACCTAGTAGAATTGAGTTAAGCTGTCCAAGCATCGGTCTTGAACCTCCTCTCACTATTGAAGAGGTTTCTTGTCTCTCCCTTCGTGCCACTAGCAAAAGTGAGCATTTTCCCATAGAGATCGGACCTAAAACACCTAAAGCATGGCTTATGTCTCTGTTCACAGGTTTTCGAGAGGCAAAAGTATCCAACGCTCTTGGCGGTGCCCCTAGCCACGAAAGAAGGAATTTGATGTATCTCCGCAATGGTGGAGGCAGACTTGATGACTTCACCAGACATTCAAGAAGAACTGGCGACATTAGATGAAGCAAGCACCGACTTTAAGAAACAGTATTTTAGCTAAACACACCAAACTGATTATTGTGAAGGTTCTGTCAAATCAAAAAGAACGCTTTACACTTTTTAAAGCAAAAGCACGAGAACTACCTTTTGTAGTCTTAAATACCGTAGGACTAACAAAAGGCGAGTTGCTTATACTAAGCTCTTATCAAACGCATTGATGTTAACTGACCCAAAACTCCACAATAAAATTGTTAAGCCAGTAGATAGTGTCTTCTGAACATAAATTATCGCTAGCTTCTACGTCTGGGAATGGAAAAAGGGCCCATGTTAGTGGTGTAGGTGATCTTCTCAACAAAATAAGCTGGTTGTGGCTGTGGTGTTGGTTTCCTTTTTGTCCACCTTTCACCTAAGCGATTTTATTCCGTCAAGACCTCAACGCTCAGAGGACACTCTCTGCGTTACCCTAACCTTGCTGATCCCTTGGGCCTGTCTGCTAGGCGATGATAAGCTGTTTTTGCACCGGCCTCACCTGACCAGCACGATTATTTTCTTTAATACCACCACTTCCCTGACTTTTCGCCGGATTACAAGAACTTCACGACGCTTAGAGTCATAACGAGAAGAGCGTGCTGCCCTTTAGACTTTAACATTTCGAAATAAAAGTTAGAAAGAGGCGTGGATAACAGAAAAAAATGAAGAAATGTGGAATCAGGATGAACAAGGGCCTTCTCATTTGCAGCTAGGCTTGTCAGTTTCCGAATCGCATTTTTTATCACATCCAGCGGGTTTGTCGTGTCCACCATGCAGGCCTCCGTGATGGCCTAGTAGATTGTGAGGACCGTGATGACCCTTGGAGTGAGGGTCCTTATCACACTCCTTCTTCGCGTCTTCTGGGTGCTGCATCTCACCTTCTACAACGAACACAACATGCACACCTGAAGCATTAGCCAAACCTCCCTACTCTAGCCAATAAACAGCATCTCCTCTTCCCAAATGAGTCGAACCACCTAACTGTATGGCGATGCAACACGACTACGTGGATGAAGGATGAGTGGCTGACCTGGAGAGGATGTTGATAGGCGTGGAGTGGTTTGGAGAGTGCGAGATGAGGATGGAGAGGTGGATGGAGGAGAGGTTCGTATATATTGGTGTAGGCAAGTCATTGTGGCCAATGGTAGGGGTGGAGCAGGTAGGCAGCCAATTAGCTTATCGGTATTAGCGGCTCACTCCGATTGGTGGGCATGGATGCAGACGTAAAGTAGTGGTTATTTGTGACAGCCTCTGTCTTGGGTACACGGAAAAGTTTGGGTTCATTTCTCCCTTCATAGAGAGATGTATTTTCCATCTAGAACGGGAATATAAATCAAAGTGACAGTGAAGATGCCAAATGCATAATTTGGAGCAAAATAATGAAATTTAGCAAACATCTACTGAACACATTTTTATTAGCATATCCTTTTGGATGACATGGTTCAGCGTTTTGAGACATCGAACCTTTATGCTAATGTTACATCAAGTCTCATTCGTCCAATGAAGTTAGATGAATGCGGATTCAATGAACAGTGCGTTTCGTCCCCTTATCTCTCATTGTATGCTGGTACTGGAAGGGTGAGGTCTTTGTGTTTGTGCGTGACTGCCCACATGGTACTCCAGATAAGAGTTTCACGTCGAAATATATTGATATCTTTTAAATTAGTAAACCTTGTTAGGTCACTAATAGTTATTGCAAACAATGGGGAATGCTAGCGTATCAGGTAAGGCGGTGCACACAAAACAACCTCAATACTAGCGACTCAGCCACCTGAGGTGAAGCTCCCTTCTAAGTCCAACTATCCGTCGGCCGATTTCTCCAGCAGCGAGAGACCTAAGCAGCTACTGCAATTCTTTGTGTCTTCACAAAATTGTGCTCTCACCATTTGGTACAGTTTTGAAAGTTAGATTTTGACTCGGTCTTCTTAAATTACACTCCTCTTCAGGCGTTCATGAGTGTATCAATTATCAATTGGGATATGGAAGCATACAAATTTTATTAAGTTTTGCTGCACAAACAATTTTGAATTATGCAATTTAAAAAGAGTTCGTTGAAGGTGCACTGTTTACTAACGTGTGATCTTACTTTATCGAAATTATAGCCTTAGCACATGCTCATTTCGCGCGATTCTTTTTCCAACATCTTCTAGTATGTCATCTAATTTGCTGAGGCTTTAGTGTCATCAGAGCACATCAATGCAGGTGGACTTTCGAGGTTCAGATAAGGGAAGAAAGGTGTCATGCAAAAAAGGCTTCAGCGGGATCGGTGGATGACGTACTTTTGCATTTAGCGAACCTGGAGACTGGGTTGGAACCATTACAATGTGCATATCACACGAGTGAGGGAGGAATCATAGGCATAATAATAGATCAGAAATTTACAACTCCATTCATATCTTGATCTAAATTGGTGATGTAAGTCGTAAATCAGAGCTAGCAAATGTCTACCTAGTGGTAAGGCCTTTCAACGCTCTCGAGACCATTATGCCTACGCCAAATGGGGTAAGGAAGGCTAGGCTACGGACGAATCAAAGCGGAACCTCCTCCCCTACTTTTTAATTAGTCGTGTTTCATGAGAAGCGCTGGATCGCTTAGCTGGTGGCAGCAACGAGTAAACCCAACTGTGCTATGACTTCTGTCCTAGATTCCACGTTTGCGACAAAATTCTGTAGTGAGAATGAAATTCATAAACTCTGGCTGGAGAATAGTCGAACCCACCCACATCAGAAGAGCTGAAAACGAAGTCCGCCTTTGGCATCTACCATATTCTTCTGCTTCCTTGCCAACTTAGCAACACCGTTAACTATCTTAAAGGCATTTTTGTATTCCGGATTCCCTTATCACAGGACAATGCGCCAAAATCCACCCCACAAGGAACTATGATAGATCCAATTTATCCTTTTCCCACATCTAGCGTCCGGACCTGGACACAAGTGACAGTTAAAAGGACTACTCGTCCCTGACTTCTTCATTTTGTTAAATGCAATCCACGCTCCGGGCGAAGCTGTTGGAGAAGTCGAGTACATTCCTTCCTTTCTAACGAAGTTACTGTTGTCTTGTAGCGTCTAATACGTCATGCTGGATGATGCGAAAGTAAGTCGAGGTAAGCACAGGAGACGCTAATCCAAAAAAGAGAGGAGAACTGTAATGTTCTGTTTTTTCGACTACCTGCCTGAACGGCTGTCACTTCGGTGTTCGCCGTGCTTTTGGCTGGATGGATAGACCTTCGGACCAAGTCCTAGCCCATGACATCACTTTCTTGGTGAATGAAAGCAGTCACCAATGCTTAATGTCTTTTACTGCCAAATGAGAAATCTTGACACGCTACACCTCGTTCCCAAGTTTTCTTATAAGTGATTACAAAAGAATATGAAACTAAGTTGTTCCTCAGAGTTTGTATAGCATAAACTTTGATAACCCCTAATAGATGTAGCATCACCCTATCTGTACTACTTTTTTTATATAATAACCGGGTGCTTGAAGATCACTTTGGTGTTTTTAACACCTGGTACGCGTGGACTTCCCTTCGGGTTATGCTGAAATCCTGTCCATTCTTCCTCTCTTAAAAGACATATATTATGCAAATGTAATGCCTTCTTATAATTGGAGGGGTTCCGGGTGTCTACAATACCCCATGCGGACATTGATGCAATGATTTTCAAGCAAACTTCCTATCAGAATATTGCCAATACAATAATTTAAAAAGATGGAAATACACAAGAAAAAGTAGAGTACAGATTCGTTACATTGAAAACAGAGTTTTTACAGTGTACGTAATACTTTTTCACTGTAGATCAATATCTTAAAAACACTTTTTAATATTGGCCGAATAGTATTTGCAGTTTTGCACGATATAAGTGCGGCCTTAAAGAGCTGCTTTATAATGCTCTGTTCATTGCTAATTGAATCACTGACTTAATCAGGCATTTTAGAGTTTGACTACGACTAAATTCTAATCATTGTTTAACACTCTTGAGAGTCATAGCTAAGCGGGTCCGCCAAACTTGATTTGTATTGGTCGCTTGTGCATTTGTGTGGGTAGTAAGATTGTGGTGTTGTCATGTGTAATTTTACAAAATTTCTGGGTGTTTTTACCTTTTTTGTGAATGTTTTACATTAATTACCGTGTCTAAAATTCAGTGGGACTTTCGGTTTGCTGCACTGTACTTGACAGTTCAACAAGTGCCGAAGCTACTGCATATTCGTTGCTTCCATTGCTTACTTAGCACATTTCGGGGTGGTCTTTTAGCATATGTTACACTATATCCTACTCTCTTTGAATGTTATCTCAGAATATTTTGACCACATCCATGTTCTGGGTCTTTGTTCTAAATTCATGATGTTCACGTTGCCTTTCCCACATTTATTGAAGGCGGGGTTTTTATCTTGCTATGTGCAACTATTTTAGACAAACCCATTAACAGTGGCTCAGTGCAGTCATCATAATGGTAGGTCGTTTTTGGTAATCGATGGTATTTTCAGGACTATTCGTCGTATGTTAAATCCCTCACAAGTCGATATGGTCTTAAAGAGTCATCTGTCGAGGATACTCATCGACAGCTTCAGGAGAGGTTGAATCAAGACAAAATGAAGCTCCAACAGTTGTTCAAAGAAAAACTGGTTACTCCGAAAAACTCGAAAAAGGCTTCTGCTCACATAAAGCAACTCAATGAACAAATTAAAGACCTTTCTGAAGACATAGGTGAACTCGACACGTGTTTGCTCATTTTACGACACAAACTTCCTCAAGGTAAGATTTATTTCAACTTTGGTGAGCCTTGCAGAAATGTTGCGTGCTATGAGAGATAATGCCGCATCAAATGAAGAAGCCATAGCATCCATTCAAAAGGCTCTGGACATTGAAATCCGCGTAAGAAATGGAGCTGAGAGGCTTAGTCAGACATACAAAGACGGGCCTCGAAACTGTCTTGAATCAGCTAGGAAACAGTTGGAAGTTGCTGAGGCCAAAATTGGTTTCCTGAGGAATCAGTTGGCGCGATTGAAGCATGCTGGTGTACGTTGGCAATAGCATTTATGTATCTCGTTTTGGTACTGATAGGTATTGAATCGTTCTGTTTAAAATTTAAGATGGTGATCCAGGACTGTTGATCATGGGCCTTAGTTTTGACTATGCCGGCGTTACTTTTCTGTTTTAGTCTGATGAGTCGACTCCACTGTCGCCTATGCCTTTCAATGATGACAAACTTGTGTCACCTACATTGTCTACCTCGTCGCCAGCTTTTACGGACGTGACTCGCCCTAATGGCGCCTACACTTTCGGTCTTACTGCACCTCACTCATGGCAGCAGCAAGTGGCAGAACTGAAATACCGACTTCGAATAGAGCGTGCCGTGTATGAGGGGGCTGGGAAGGTATTAAACGCCTTCATGGGACCACAAAAAGGTGCAGAAAAGACAACCAAGCTGAAGGTAACAGCCTATCGGAATCTCACTTAAAATACTGAATCTATGGCTGTTGATGCCATCCACGCTTGGGATGTAGGATGTAGATTACTGGTAAAGCGTTTTGCTCCTTCAAAACCCACAGATTTATGGCAGTTTCCGGGAGCCCAAGGCGGGTAATATTCCGGAGCAAAAGGCGCTGGTAAGCGTACCATCTCGAATCACTTTTAAGAGGAATACTAACAATCCTTTACCATCACTACCTTGTCATCACATGCCAGTTTGGCACCGTGCTTTTAAAGTGTTCTAATGCTTTGCTCAAAACTCCGTCGTTTTCCTTTTGCATTAACGAAACGCTACCCTATATCACTTTCTTGGAGTCTTTAAACTCTTATTTTACTTACATTTATCTCGTATTGCTTAAATTTGTGAAAGGTGTCACTTAGCCAACTAGCCAAAGTTGAATCCGGTGTATTATCGTAAACGACGTTTCCTTGCTCATACATCCAGTTGTGTATGCCTATACAATTCCCAACAGTGGCTCTTGAAATGCGCATAGATTGTGCGCCTACTTTTTGTTAGGGCTTGGGTGTAGAGACTGAGTCGATGCCTTTGCAGTTTGCATTCCTCACTGCTTGAATTCACCCTTTTCGCAGATTCTCCGTGCCTATTCCGCTTTCGCCTTTAATGCCTCTTCACATTTGGAGTCAATGTCTAGGCCTAATCAGCAAATGCTTGCTCACTGCAATTGCTGCCAGCTTAATTGATGTTCTTTTAACTATATTTCTTGTTGCTTTTATGTGACTCTACTTTAACCTATTCTAACTCAGGGTGCTTCTGGAGTTGTCACTTAAGTCAGGTTGTTGAACTACTTTTCATCTAGGCGTACCGTCGCGTCAGAGAATACTTCCAAGAGCTCTACTTGCTCCAACTGTCAATGCAGAATTTGGTGTCTGTTCCACCAGTACTAGATAATCAGGAAGATAATCCAGACCTAGCGGCAGCCTTTGCAGAGGCCATTAATGATCCGGAGATTCAACACCTACTCGAACACCCGGATAACAGGCCAGGCAGTGTTTCGCTCCCAGGGAGTGAGGGTCACGTGGGAACAAGGAAGCATTCTATTTCTTCGTTGGCATCTCCTGCGATCATCGCAGTCACTGGGCTTTTGAAGGTTTGCTGTATCGGCTGTGAGGGGTTGTTGGACGTCTTCCCGTCTGCACTTTTTTCCCCAGGAGGAGGAGGATGTGGGATTGGCTCGCGTGCAAAGCCCGCTCTCATCGATTCGCCCTTGGAATTCTCGGCAAAATTTGAGGATAGACCAGGTGAAACTCGGGAACCTTACCTATCTATTTACATGGCGCTTAGTATGCACATTAAACGATTATTTACAGAGATGTTAAACTTCTTGGATAGAAGGCGCTAGGAGGTGTTGTTACGCTTTGTACTAGCCAGTACCAACGAAAAGTGGCGCAACCTAGTCACTGGAATGCTTAAAAAGCACAAGGCATCGATCACTGCTCAATTCGCTACGGGTAGTAGTAGTAGTGGTGATGGGGGTAGAGTTCTCACATGCATGCGTTCATGCACCAGAGCCTACAGCGCCGCCATCCCTTGTGCTTTTGTGTGCATTTGTATGTATCAATTTTGTATGACTTTCTTTAATTCAGATCGCTGATTATGCGAGGTACTGAGCTCTGCCAATAATCTGGTCATTTCGGCTTGTTTTTTTCATTTCCATCACTCCTCTATACTTGCTCGCTATTGGGATGGTCTCGGTTTCTCCGTAAAGCGAATCACCATTGTTTTTGGATTATTGCCCAGCCTTAAGATAAAATAAACTTCGCATGGTCGCTTCCTTGCGCGTTCGCTAAGTGAAAATGTTTCTTTTTTTCGAAAAAAACTGCACTCGTTTTTAGTATTGAATTATAATCCACGCTGTCAATGCTTCTTTTTTGGCTAGCTCGCTGGCTGGCTACTTAGCAAACGCAGTTTGCTTCCATTTGTGGGCTTGTGAGCGTGTGTATGGTCTTGTATGCAAATTCGGAGAGGCTAATTTCGCAAGCAATACTTCCTCACGCCTTCCTGTTCGCCTGCCCACCCTCTCACCTATCCACCGCCCACCTAGCTATCTGTCTACAAGCTTCTTTCGATGTAGGTGGTCAACTTTTAGACAAACTGACTAGATTTGCCTAATTTAATTTTCCTCGAACTTTCTGAGACATTTAAACCTACACGGACCTGTCCCACCGCTTTTGATAACCGTTTGAAGATCAACAAGATGTCCACTTTCAAGTTTCTAGTGCCTTCGCCATCGCTCATTTGGCAAGCTGTTATGTGACACGCGTTGGCGTTGTCCATCAAAGTTTCTAGTCCGTATGGCTACCTATGGTGAACACTTTCCTTCCTCGACCTCATGCCTCCGTGTTTCAGACGCCCTAATGGAAAGGAGGTCGAGCGGACTGCATATACTTGCTTATATTTCGCTCTTTCCAGGGAGTCTGAATTTGATGCTTAAGTCATGCTTATCGAGCTTTTCATCTATTCATTACTATGCACTGCTGACGCGGTCAGTTTGTATATTCTGTTCATGTTCTTCATATGGGCAGTCGAAATCTTCAACTTGATGTTTACCTTTACCTCAGAGCTGTGCAGGTGGGGAGGTGTGTGGACGGTTCACTTGATCGCAAATTGATTTACCTATCCTCTCGGTGCGATTGGATTGATAAATGCGTTCTTTCCACTTGACCTGAACGTCTTGTACTAATGCAAATACCTTAATTTACTCCTTTTAATGTGTCCTCCCCAGGCTTTTAACTTTGATCCTTTGTTTTTGCGCGAAAATGGTGCAATTATCCCTGTCAATTTGAACTTCAGCAAAAGTGGAGTTGAGGTGACAAGCGGCAGATAAGTGGTGCTTTAACAGGGAGAACATATTGTGTGAAAATGTGACAGTCAGCGCAAACTTAGTTATACCAACTGCAAGAGGTCACGCTTGTTTTTCCAAGCTCCCTCTGATGCGTCGTACCACACATTATTACAGTCATGAGTTGACTGTTGTATTAGTGGTAAATGAATTGACTATTTTTTCTTTTATTTAGATTGTTGTGAGTTGCGTAATAAATCCTCCCGACTGTTTTTTAAGGGGCTTAGAGGGTGTTAGTATGGAGGAGCGGCATAAGATCAAACAGGAGATGGGAATCGTAGAGACTGGCAATTCTGAATGGCTAAGTGCATAATTCAAATGGGTATAATTCTGTTATTACCACCGTTATGCCTCAGCGGGTCTTGTCATCACCTAAACCAAACTCCTCTTTGTTGTGAAACAACGTGAGAGAAGGCAATGATATGAATAGAGACATTGTCGATGATGAAGTTGTTGCTGGGCCCTCAGTAAATGTGACATCGCCATATTCAGGGTTGGCTGACTTATGGATCATCGTACCTAGCTCCTTGTTTGTCACGGTCCCTTGACGGTTTTGCTTAGTTGGAGGTTGAATTCAGCGTTCAGGATGTTTATGGCCTAGCAAAGCTTCTTAAGGCACTCCAGTAATTCATAAGCCCATGCATTAATAGTTACTTGTGGTAAGTAACTCTCAGTTCCGGTCCTAAAAGTTCTCACTCAATTATCTTTTTTACCACTATTTCTCATACACCTGCTAGGGTTGTACTTAGAGGTCAATTGTATTTGATATGCAAATGAGAATGTGACATTAAAACTGAATAACTTTCCTCCTTTATGGGGGCACTTCTGACACATCAAATCAGCCTTTTTCTCATATTCCACCAGCCTTCATGTTTCTTTTTTGACGCGTGATCCAACACATCGTCCGCATTTTGTGTGAGGGCGTTGTGCCCTTCCCTACCTCTTTGTCCGGCTCGAAAGGTCATGCAGCTGTGGCTATTCTCTTGATGGGTTTCATTCAGCCGGCCTGGTTGTTTTTCACCTGAAAAATGCCTGATGTGAGTCATTCGTTTCATTCAAGTTGCACACTCCGGTTGTCTGACTAAGCCGACCGCATACAACACTGGTGTGTGTGGACAACCTTCTTTACACCCCTGAAGCAATTGTAGAGGTGGCCCGTTTCCCTCTCATCTGTGTAGAAGATCGACTGTGTTTATCTTGTGAGTCAGGCAAGAGAATTTGGGTAGGATGAGAATGGTGTAAAGTCTGTTTAAAATGAGCTTCTGTCTGCACGTTCATTGACTGCATTATGTGAGTATTCGCATCTTTTGTGCGCACTTGGGCCTTTGATTGAAAAGGCACCGAGTTGTTTTCTCTCAGGACCTACCTGACTGACGTGGAGTCGTTCAAATGCCTGAGTTTAAGTCCTCAGGCAAAGTAATCTGCGTCATACGACTTCTTTTTCTTCTTTCCTAATGCCTTCTCGCATCGGCAACGGTTGATGCCTCGTGAAACTGTTTCATCGGCTCTGCTGTTCGTACTTTTAAAGTTCGAATTCGCATTTAACTGATTGAGTGAAAGACTTTGTGCAGGTGTTTGTAAATCCTAAAACATCACACAAAAATGCAAATTTGAATTGCCATTATTCATCAAGCCTTATAACACTGGTTCTTTGTATCAGTTTATAAATTATATTGACGTCGTTGGAGATGCGATGAGTGTTCTGACTCACAAATGCACATTGAAGTGGCACAACCGTACCCATTGTCCTAGCTATCATAAAACCGCCATTCTACGCCAACGTTCACACTGTCGTTGTCTCCACCATTTTGGCATGCCAGGGTGTAGGCTCAAAAGCTGTTCTTATTAGTCTCCTTTCCTTTTACATCTAAATGCTGATGTAGAAGACAAAGTTTCATCAAAAAGGGTCTAACTAACTTGAAGCCCTGTTCATTTGACACTTTTAGCCGTGCTATTTTTTTTTGGCTTCTGTTATTGTTACCTGTTTTCCACATGCTGTTTAAATCGAAGAGGAGCTTTTTGAGGCAATATATCTTGAGGATTGAAAGGTGTGTTCATTGCACTTGCACACATCTTACACCGTTAAGCATCATTGTTGATGGCGCTCCTGCTTCCCTCCTTCTCTCCAAGTATGCTTTAACTTTTTTGAATGCTCAAAGAAATTCACTTTGCGTCCTCGGATGCGTTAGATGTTCACACGAATAAATGATGTCATTTAGGCAAGGTATAATCGTTGGGAAGGTTTTCACTTTCTGACAGATGTATGGGCGTCTTTGAGTAGTCAACTCTCACGGAATTGTGCAGGAGCAGATATCCATGAGTTTTGTAGTTTCGTTTATCGCAGTCCAAGTGGGAGCTGAATTGAGCTATTCTACAATTTGTACCAAGCGAACTGTCACTATACTAAGAGTGATTCTTACCATCAATGAGTTCCTGTTTGCCTTGAGCATTTCATGCAGTTTGGTCTCTAAAATCTGCCGTGTTTTTTTTCCCCTCAGCGGATGTGAGTTGTTTCCTGAAGGTTGACAACAGCGACAAGTCGTGGCACACCTCGTGGCGCTCACCTTCTTCCAATTGTTGGAACACAGAGTTTTCTTTGAATGTCTCACAGGCACGTGAGTTATGGATTCAGGTCTTCTGGAGGCGTGTCTATCCTATTGGCACCGGCTATGCTAGTCCCGGCGAAAGCAGTTGTACTAGCGGTGGAAACAATGGCAAGAATCCTGATGATTCTGATTGGGTCCTTGCTGCTGTGCAGTAAGTTGGTCTTTCTAGTCCTGCTTGACACCAACTCACATATCTCATTCTTCTAGCCTTGACAAGCCTCCTTTCCACACATCCGTTGTTCCCTGCCCACTCGCAGTGGGTTCATCTTTCCCCTTCGATGTACGATGCTCATCCTTTGTCAGCTGCCGACGTTTCCCTTCCTGTTTAGACGATTGGTTTTAACTACTCCTTAGAGAGCATTTGAGTATTTTGACATCTAACCTTCATACATTCTTATCATTTTACCTGGCAGTACATCTATGATGCATCTTTACTACATAACTCAAAAGTCGACGTGGTTTCTGTGCCGATGGTCCACACTTGGCAGCAAGCTTTTATCACCCCGTGTTCAATTCAATTGCTGGTCCATCTCATCCACTTATTCACCTATTTCTTCCTTCCACACCCCTGTGTCCATTCAGAAAAATTCGCCCTTTTATGCATTAGTCTCGTCCATCTGTCCACTTTGTCCATCCCTTTATCCATGCATCCAAGCGTAATCCGGTTTCAATGATTCCTTTCCCATCCAAATGTTACAAGTCTTAGTCTTGTTAAACTTAGGATTTGATTTTTCCCATTAATTCATAACTAATCTACCGCTCATTTCTTTCTTATCTGCAAATCCATCCGTTTGTCACGGCTGTGTAACCGAGCTTTTTTTTTTCATTGCTTGACAGGTTTGTGCGTCTGCAAGACTTACTGGATAGCAAACCAAAACTGCATCTTCCAATGCTTCCTCAGGGTTATGTAACCCTGCAACTCTCCTTCACAGACCCACTGATGCAAGCACCTCGTGGACTGAGGCGACAACGACGTATCTCTCGTCACAAGGGTTAGTTGTACTTTGTTGCTCTTTGTCTAAAACACGCATATCTTGTTTCCTGCTGGCTGGGGTGGAATTTATCTCCTTTCCTGATAATCTTCGTGTCCAGGCGGGCGGGCGGGAGGGCGGGAGGGCTCGCTGTTTCACAAGTGATACATTGCGTTGGTATTTTTAAAGGCATGCAAATTGTTATTGTTGGGTGCAAAGGCGAGCACCTACAGCGCTCACTTAAAGTGATGAAAATTATGTGAATTCATAAATCAATTTGGCACATCACGAAGATGCCCCATCCTTCAATCTACCCTTAAAATTCATTGGACCAGTCTCCTAAACTTGCCTTGTGCCTATTTAGCACTTGGGACTTTTAACGTGTCTTTTGGGGCGATACACTTTCTTGAAATGATAACGTAATATACTTTAAGTTGATTTTCCCACTTAACTATTCCAGACGCGCTTCTAACTCATCCCTTTCCAAACATCCTCTGCACAATTGCATTAGGAGGAGTGGTTCGTTGGTGTATTATATTTACGCAGCACAATAAAACAAGGTTCACAACCATTTCACTGATTTGCGTATTCCCTTGTACTTTCGTACGAAGTGGGAAGTTTAGTCTTCCTAATATCACTCCTTCTCTCAACATCATGTTTTCACTTAAGTGTGCTTTGCAGATACGTGATGCGAGTGTTTTTGTCAGTGTGTTACTTCTCAAGGGGGAAGTTGTACCTCCCGACGATTGTGCATAAGGTAGCTCATACACAAAGTCATTTGTTA